TATATATATATATATATATATATATATATATATATATATATATATATATATATATCAGACAGGGTAGAGACTCTTTTGGTGTCTTGCTAAGGTAAGGTATATATTTCCATAAAAGGTTAGGCTTCCAAATGTCCAGACCCATTACCTAGTAAACACAGGTTTTCTTAGAGATTTTATCACCTGCCCTCATGGAGGTTTCTCAGTCACAGGACTTACATGACGCATTAAGGGCAGAGGGGAATTCGCTACCTTATCTTTCCTTTAATTACAAGGTTCAGTATCCATCTTGCACTCCTCTCTCATTTAAAGGTTTCCATTATTTGTCAGTTGTGCTATGGAGAGTGTTTTTATTAAAACATATTTTTGGTTTTGCTTTAAGAGGGAAGATCTGAAAGATTCCATTCCTATATTTCAATGTTTTTGACCTTTATAATACTTACTTTCTGCCTCAACAGTGAATATGTTAACTAAGAACATTGCATTATGACCTGTGGAATGACATTAAATATGTAAAAGGGTAACAATCAATTATCTGTAGTATACCGTCCCTCACAGAACAGAAGTCATATTATTTTTCTTCTACTGGGGAGAGGAAAGGAAGATTCAGCACACTTGTTTTTTTTATTTATTTTTTAACTTCTAAGACTAATGGTGTGGAGTTCAACCTCAATATATCAAGCTCACAGAAAGTCAAATATCTATAATTTAAAGTATCCCATCTTCTATCTATGGGATTTTTATTAGATTTTTGGAGCTCACATGGTCTTAAGAAAAAGACAGATAGATGTGATCCTTATTCCTTCCAGTTTTCTATATATAGTCCCACTGTTTGTTTCACTACATGATCACATAATGATCTGTAATACTACTTGTTAGTCTAGAAAGTTGCTGCTCTAGAAGCTCACATGGTCTTAAGAAAAAGACAGATAGATGTGATCCTTATTCTATTCCTTCCTGTTTTCTGTATATAGATAGTCCCACTGTTTGTTTCAGTACATGATCACAGAATGATCTGTAGTACTACTTGTTAGTCTAGAAAGTTGCTGCTCTAGAAAGATATTACCAATGATCATAGACTAAGTCTAAGAGTCCATAACAACTTCTCATAATGCTTCTACTCCTGGCACTCAACTTTTTACAGATATCTCATCTCAATGTACAATCACTTATGTTGCTACAAGTTAATCTTTTGAAATCTCTGTCACTGGTAGAATCTTTCATTAATTTTGTCAACACCCAAGAACTGAATAAGAACAGGAAATCTGGATTCGGCCTACTTCAGTTCACTTAACAATTCATTGATTTCAGACAAAATCAGGATATTTTCAAATCTCATTTTCCTGGTCAATACAATGGGTATTATAGAAGATATTTAAGCAGGATAGGGCTTACAAAAGTCTTATAACAATGATTAATAGTGTGATAGTCTTGCAAAGTATAAAATAATAGTAATTTATAACATATTCTGCATCCTTAATACTCTACCGGTAGAATTCCCTTACCTAGACCACTATAACCCCTTTTGTTTGTCAAGTCTTTCAAAGTACTTACCTGGAAATTTTCCATTTTAGGAGCAACATTGAGACACACTGTAGAGTGCATTCTCCTAAATGTAAGACTTCCTGCTTCCACCTGAGTGAAAAAATAATACATCAGTGTTTCTCAAAGAATATTGCTAGTCACCTGCATGAAAATATTTAGGGATTCATCCAAGGTGGGATAACAACTTATGAAATTGCTCCTGCGACCTTGATGAGCACTAAAATCCATGTGTTACTCATATATACAACTTGTACCTGTTCAAATAGTTTACTTTTTTTCTGAAATGTTTAGTCATCCCACACCTAACAATGGTAACAAAATAGAGCCTCTGAGTCTCCTCCACGAGGCACTATCTATAGTTTCTCATTGAACACACCACCTGATTTCACTTTTTCTTTTGCCATAAAATGGATAAGATGGAAAAGGGTCAAAACTCTGGGACTGGAGTGCTGTGGGATGTCATTCTTTATGCTGTGACTATGTGTTGCTCTGTTTAGTTGATAAATTAAATGCTGATTGGCCAGTAGCCAGGCAGGAAGTATAGGCGGGGTAAGCAAATGAGGAGAATTGTGGGAAGAGGAAGGACTGAGTCTGGAGTTGCCAGCCAGACACAGAGGAAGCAAGATGATAAAGCAGAACTGAGAAAAAAGTACCAAGCCACATGGCTAAACATAGATAAGAATTGTGGGTTAATTTAAGTGTAAGAGCTACTCAGTAATAAGCCTGAGCTAATGGCTGAGCACTTATAATTAATATAAGCTTCTGAGTCATTATTTTATAAGCGGGCCAAGGGACTTTGGGGGCTTTGTGGGACCCGAGAAACATTCTGACTACACTAGAGAGTATTGGGGAGTACAAATATGAGACAGCTTAACTGGAATGATGCAAAAGAAGGACTAATGGCTTGGAATTTACACTTGAAGTGAAGGTGCAAAAAGTAGTAGAAATAAAATAAGCAAAATGTAGTGGGCTTTGGGGGGGGAGGGAACACCATTAAATAGTTCTTAAACTGTATGATTAGTCAGAAAAGTGAATTCATGGGCCCCATTCTCAACAAACTATGTTTTGTGGAGGGGGATTAAGGTATATTGAGTCAGTATCAGGCAAAAGCTTTTATGGAATGTATTCCTAATTAATTAAAGTCACACTCTACTTAGCTACCAAGTATGGGTCTGTCATGAGATGTAATGTCATGAAGCAAAAACAAACATTCAAAACAAAATAATATGAAACTTTCCTTTCTGACTCCTGAGCATTTATGATCCAGACCACTATAGTTTTTCCATTGTGTTTACATGCTTGCTTCCTTCTAGAATGTTCTCTTTCTCTCCATATGTTCTTAAAAATCCTGACAATTCGTTGTCACATTCCTAACTCAAAGTCTCAAAGGTCTCTGTCTAAGGTCATGGGCCACTGGAACTGACAATGAGAACCTTCATTCCCAGCTCCTCGCTTGCTGTCTTCTACCCCATTTCCTTAGTTTTCTGAGCTAAAGGAGATGATAGTATCTCCAAAATACCCAACTTCACTTTTTCCTAGCCAATTAGTACAACCCACCTGATGTTAAAGACTATGATCTACCATCAATTCCTGGGCATCATCACAGGCAGGCAGAATCTGAGGCCCGATGATCTGTCATTTCATATGGTCTTCTCAGATGATTCTGTTGCAGAAGCACAAAAGATTTGAGGAGGAGGAAAAAATGATTCGTTGAAAATAAGCTACCACCAGCAAAAGGGCTGTTCAAAAGAAGAACTGCTATTTTCAAAGACTTCTTTTTCTGCCAAGTTCAATGTATGACCTTAGTAAAGAGTCTCCCTCGATTAAAAGCACTTTTGTTTTCTTCCACAGAGAATAATGATCAAGGCTGTCTCATCTCAAGATTGACTACACGTTGGGTTTCAGATTTTATTGGAGTAGAGATTTGAAAGATATTTGGCTGCTGTGGAAGGGGTGGCTGCGTTTGACTTGTTGGATCCGGAAGGTGTTGGGCCACTGGCCCTAGAGTAATGTCTCCCTGTTCCTCCAAGCACCTTTCTAGCCTTTGTGCCACTTTTATATCTTCTTGGCTTTACTACTACCTACCGCCCCCTTCTGGCTGGGCATAAGCTACCCTCCATCCACGATCTCCCAGCCCTAAGGCTCACCCTTGCACACCTCCCATCAAGCCTGCCATTTATAGTCAGCCCGCCCCACCTCCTCGTCCAACGCCACCCCCAGAGCCTCCCCCTCCCGCCCAGCTGTCCTCATCCTCCGCGGACTTGTCGCTCCAGGCCCAGAAGTCCTCACGCTGAGCTGGCTCACCGAGCGACTCCGCGCTAGCTCTCGGCGCACCTTCGGCCCTAGCGCGGATCTCTCCGAGCTCACTCGGCTCTTTCCGGCCCGACCTCGCGTTGCTCGCTGGGTCACGTCGCGTTCACCTCATTTGCCGCCAACGCGCTCCGGACTCCGCAGGCTCCCAGCCGCTCGCTCGCTCGCTCGCTGGCTCGCTCGCTCCCTTGCTCGCCTAGCCTCCCGCTCGCGGTCGCTCCCATGCTTCAGGCCGACTCGGAGGCGCCGCCCTCTCCCGCAGCCCAGGAGACGCCACAGCCCGGGCCCTCCAACCGCCCGCCGCCCACCATGGCCCCTCAGCAAACAGGTAGCAGGAAGCGGAAAGCCGCTCAGGTCGAGGAGGGCGCGGGGAGTTCTTCGTCGCCAGGCCCCTCAGCGGCGATGGCGACGGCCGAGGCAGGCCAAACCGAGGGGCCCTTGCTGCTGGCCAAGAGGCCGCGGCGGCCCGCGGCGAGCCACTCGCTGGTGCACTACCTGAAGGGCCGCGCGCTGGGCGCCGAGGGCCACCCGGGGCTGGCGGGCTTCGAGGGCGACCTGCGCGGCTACGGGGTCGTCAGGCTGCCCGAGCTGCTGAGGGAGCGCCAGCTGACGCTTGGGCCCCTCAACAAGGTGTTCGCGTCGCAGTGGCTCAATGCCAGGCAGGTGGTGTGTGGCACCAAATGCAACACGCTCTTCGTGGTTGATGTCAAGACCGACCACATTATGCGCATTCCCCTGATGCGCGACCGGGTGCCCGACATGGCCCAAGGCTCGCCCTCCTGTGGCATTCATGCTGTGGAGCTGAATCCCTCCAAGACCCTCATGGCCACCGGAGGGGAAAATCCCAACAGCCTGGCAATCTACCAGCTGCCCACTCTAGACCCCGTGTGCCTAGGAGATTGCCAGGGCCACAGGGACTGGATCTTTGCCATCGCATGGTTGAGTGACACGGTGGTTGTGAGTGGATCCCGCGACGGCACCGTGGCACTCTGGCGGGTGGATCCCGACATGTTCAATGGCAGCATTGCTTGGCACAAGGATGCGGGGCTTCCTGTGTATGCTCACATCCGTCCTAGAGATATGGAGGCCATCCCCAAAGCCACTACCAATCCAGGCAACCGCAAAGTGCGAGCCCTTGCATTCAACGACCAAAACCAGGAGCTGGGAGCCGTGTCTCTGGACGGCTACTTCCACCTGTGGAAGGTCCGGAGCACCCTGTCCAGGCTGCTGACCCTAAGGCTGCCCTACTGCCGGGAGAACGTGTGTCTCACCTACTGTGATGAGTTGGCCCTCTATGCTGTGGGTTCCCAGTCTCATGTTTCATTCCTGGATCTGCGCCAAGGGCGGCAGAACATCCGGCCTTTGTGTTCCCGAGAGGGAGGCACTGGTGTGCGTTCTCTGAGTGTCCACCAGCATATCGTCACCGTGGGAACAGGCCACGGTTCTCTGCTCTTCTATGACGTCCGTGCCCAGAAGTTCCTCGAGGAAAGATCTGCAGCCAGTCCAGACATGTTTCCTGTGCCCTCTGGAAGGAAGCTCAAGCTCACCTGTGGCAGCGGTTGGATCAACCAGGATGATCTCTTAGAGAATTATGTTGCTGGTGTAGAGGATTTCCCCAACGCACTCTACACTCACTGCTACAACTGGCCGGAGATGAAGCTCTTCGTGGGTGGAGGACCACTGGCCTCAGGCCTCCACGGCAACTATGCAGGCCTCTGGAGCTAAGGTTGGCTGACCTCCTCCCAGTATGCTTTTTATCTTTCAATTCAATCTAACTGTGCTTCATGTTCCGCATGCTATTTTAACTCGGTCATTTTTTTCTTTTTTCCTTTTCTTCCAGGTGGAACTGGCCCTGATTAACCAGTGCGCTTCTTAGCAGAGAGAGAGAGAGAGAGATGGAGCTGACAGAAGTCGCTTGGAGAAATTTTCTGCACCTCTTCACCATTCTTTGGACTTTTCGTACAGATACGTTCCAGTAATTCTTAGCTGTGTTGTCTTTGAGTGAGTGATCCCTATAGTCTTTCTGTGGAAGAAAACCCCTGTTATGATGTTAGAATTGTATAAATGTTGTGTTATTTTACTATTAGCAGTTCTAATGATATTGTTTTTAGTTTTCATCACATATGTGTGATATATTGAGAATATTTTTTAATGAGCAGAGTTTGGACATCTGTTCTGGAGCGCTAACCATAGTTTTATAGCATTGTCCCAATTGTAAAGTACATTCCGTGTTCCAGATTGCCTACTTTTGGGAAAATGTCACTCATGAAGTGTGATCATGGTGTATAAAGTTTGTATGTTGTTAGTGCAAAGTGCACTTTTCTAAAGAGTTTGTTACCCGAAAATAGTTGTCGTAGAAACGTGTGTTTATATCAAAATCTTAGCTGATGAGGACGGTTTAGGTATTCAAGTGTTCAAGTGTTCTTCTAATTTGGACTTTCAAAATGAATCCAAAAAATCAATGTTTTTCTTTCAAGCCTTATTTCTGTTTTATGCTCTGTCTTCTTATTGATCAAAGAATGTACTTGTTTTCACTTCTTGCCTTAGTACTATCAAGACTTGTGGGTATATTTGAATGTTCATGGTTGGAGTAACTTACACTAAGAGTTTCAGTGCCATCATTCCATGCAGGGATATTAAGTATAAATGTAGAATGTATGGCAGACAGGGCAGAAAATACACTGCTCTAAGGTATAGACTGGATATTTTTGCTGTTGCTATTTTTAATACCAAATGTTATATTTGAGCATATTTTAAATTTTCAAAAATCTGCTTATGAGTTAAGGTAAAAGAAAAAATGCAAAGGAAGAAAATGAACCCATGCAGCTTATTGGGAACAAAAAATCCCCTCTTTATAAGCTCCAAATTAATTAGATTTTATTTTGTGAACTTCAAAGATTCATACTGAAAGTAGAATATATGTGTTGCTAAAACCGTTGGTTCTATGCCGCTAGATGTAATAATGTGTGATTATGACAATGCAGTATGATTTTCAAATAGAGGAGCTGGGGATTAAAAATAAATGCGTATGACTGAAGAACATTGCCATTCAGATAGAGGTAATGGGATGTTATACAGATGTATTGGACTTGTTCCTAGGTAAGAATACTGAAAGTGAGAAAGGAGCCAGGCCTTACTCAAAACTGGACATGATGTGTTAGCCCTGGATTGGTATTGAGCTATGTTTTCTTTTCCTTAAACATCTGACATGTATTTTGTATTGGTGTTGATACATTACATGCTGTTCAGTACCAAGCCTAAATTGCTGAAAGGATTTAAAGGTGAGTTAGGAATACAAAATGGTCAGATTTTTCTTTATAGAGAATGTGCAGGTTTATTTCACAAATATAGAATTTTGCTATATAACTGTGCATTTTTTTGCTTGCATGAATATTTCCAACTCTGTTATATGTGATTTGAGAGCAGAGATTGTAAACTGCCATCTTTTATTTCTTTATTTGTATACTAAGGCCGAACAAAGGCAATCAGTTATTATTTACTGATTTTTTTTTTTTGCCAATGGAAACCTGCACTTCAAATTGTAATAAATATTTGCTGTTGCATAATAAAGAACCTTGCTTGTGTTTCCCACTCCTGTTTTTCTTTAAATTTTCTCTAATTCATTTTCAGGTCATGCTGTAGTACTTCATCCATGAAGAAAAAGTTTGTATGTCAAAGTTAACAGAATATTATTCCTGTAAAATGAAAAAAAATGAGATTTGAGGATTTCTTTAAAACATTCGGTTTATTTTTGCCAGAAATAAATTTGTTTATAGAGTTTTAATTTAGAAATATTTGTTTTAAAATATTAATCAAACTATTAACTGCCTATTTTCTTATGAGTAGTAGGGTTTTGGGGGTGCAATTGAAATAAGTTTGGAAATACAGAAAAAAATCCTTCCATATTGGATGAGATTTAAAATAAATAATAGAAGGCAAAGATTTAGTCTGATTTCCTCTCTGGCTTGGTCCTTAACATAATCAATCAATTTAAATTTATCATATTATAGGGATTATCTTTTTTAAGACAGTCACAAGGCTTGGGTAAGTTTTAGTACCTAAACAGCCTAAATATGATTATATTCCTATTTTAGAAATTTGTAATAATTTTTAAATTATTAAAATCTAGAGTTAAATGGTCTATTGCAGTACATATATAAACCTAATGTGAATTTTAAAATATATATTTTTCTTCAAGATTTTCATATCTATATACATGTTTTGATCAAATCCATCCCCTGCACTCCCCTCCAACTTTTCCAGAATTAGAAATCCTGCTCACTGTGTCTCTCTATAAACGTCATGTCCCTTAATTTTCAGCCCACTGAATGTTATTATTCCTGCTAGTATGTACCAGTGTGTTCAGCGTCCCTCAGCTGCTCACATTGGGACACGCTTACTGTAGCTAGGTTACATGCTTGCAGAGATTGCAAAGCTCTGAGAAAAACATCTGGAGCTGTGGTTCTCAACTTGTGAGTTGTGACCCCCTTTGGGAGTCATATATCATGTATCCTGCATATCAGATATAAATATTATGATTTATAACAGTAGCAGAATTATAGTAATTTTATGGTTTGGGGTCACCACAACAAGAACTGTGTGAAAGGATCACACCATTAGGAAGTTTGAGAACCACTATACTGGAGCATAGGCCACATACTGGGAGCCTCAGCTCTGAAAAAAAAAAAACTGGCTTTCTATCCCCCCAAATCCTCAGCTACCAATAACTTAAAAGCTTCTCAACTCCATGTGGGGCTTTGTGAGCACCTCACCCCCATCCCCCGAAAAATACCAGTATAGTAAGAAACTTATAAGCACAGTTCACTTTAAATTTATAATGTGTGAGTAACATATCAGTGCTATGTGAAAAACTACCCATAACCACTCATTTATTTCCTGCTGCAAGCATATTTCTGACTTGGATGTTTATTTTCCTGGGCTTCCTTCTTTGAAATGAGTTGGTTTCTATAATTTTTAAGGTAGAAGAAAAGATTTTTGAAATAAACATCCCCACTAAGGGGCTGAGGAGATAGCTTGGTGGGGGAAAATGCTGTTCTGGAAGCATGAGGACTTGCGTTTGGAACCTTAGAATTCACAGAAAAATCCAGAC